ATGCAAAATAGAACGTTTTGGCCATTTTCTGAAAAAAAGCATGGACTATAGCACATGAATTTGATCAATTTTGGATCATTTTCACACCTTTTGAAAAAATATCCAATATTTATGAAAGATGCAAAATTGAACGCTTTGGCCATTTTCTGGCAAAAAGCATGGGCTATAGCCCATGGTTTTGATCAATTTTGGGCCATCTTCACAACTTTTCAAAAAATATCCATTATTTATGAAAGATGCAAAGTAGGTCATTTTGGGCCATTTTCTGGCAAAAAGCATGGGCCATGGTTTTGATCAATTTTGGACCATTTTTACATTTTTTCCAAAAACATGCATTCTTTATAAAGAATGGAAAATTGGTCATTTTGGGCCATTTTCTGAGAAAAAGCATGGACTATAGCCCATTAGTTTGATCAATTTTGGACCATTTTCATACCTTTTGAAAAAATATCCATTAGTTATGAGAAATGCAAAATAGGTCATTTTGGGTCATTGTATGGCAAAAAGCATGGGCTATAGTCCATGGTTTTTATTGATTTTTGGGCCATTTTCACACCTTTTGAAAAAATATGCATTATTTATGAGAAATGCAAAATAGGTCATTTTGGGCCATTTTCTGGCAAAAAGCATGGTCTATAGCCCATGAATTTGATCAATTTTGGACCATTTTCATACCTTTTGAAAAAATATCCATTACTTATGAGAAATGCAAAATAGATCGTTTTGTCCATTTTCTGAGAAAAACCATGGACTATAGCCCATGGTTTTGATSAATTTTGGACCATTTTCACACCTTTTGAAAAAATATGCATTASTTATGAAAGATGCAAAGTAGGTCATTTTCGGCCATTTTCTGGCAAAAAATATGGGCTATAGCCCATGGATTTGATCGGTTTTCGGCCATCTTTACATTTTTTCCAAAAACATGAATTCTTTATAAAGGATGGAAAATTGGTCATTTTTGGACAAAAACATGGACTATAGCCCATGAATTTGATCAATTTTGGACCATTTTCACAGCTTTTGAAAAAATATCCATTACTTATGAAAGATGGAAAATAGAACGTTTTGGGCCAATTATAGCCCATGATTTTGATAGTGGTATCATGCCTCATATCGCTTCACATTTCGTTCCTTGTAACCAAGATAAGGATAAAAGGGAAGCATGGTTATTGAACTATAGCCCATTAGTATTTAAATCAATTTCTCAATTGCACGAGTCATCAATTATACAACTTCGTTTAATGGGCCATTGAAGTAAAATTATTTTTTAGGTCTACACTTAATTCCAAACTTGTAGGCTTTTTAAAAACATACTACATAGAACCTGGACCTAAAAGTATTCTGGGAAACGAGATAAATATCCGGTTTTAATTTGAGATACGCAGTCGATATCAAACCAGCATTCTTCCTGTCAGTGCAAATATTTATGAACATTGCACAAGTTGTATCATTCTACGTAATAATTATACAGCTTCTCATTAATCCCATATAGGTAACTGTCCAATTATTTTCTTAATTGGACAGTTCTTGTTGATATGGGATTAATTAGGCAGCTATATAATTAATAGGTAATGGGATTGCATGCTCCCCAATCAAGAAATAATTAGACTTGAAAAATTCCTCTGACTACTGGAAGTCCTCAGAATTTTCCTCGGCTTGGAGTCCTATTACATATACTTATTGACCCAGTGGGAGGGCCAGAATATTTGGCTCAAGGTAATGCCATACAGACTGAACAGAGTTAAGGTCCATACAATGACCAAGAGCCAAATATTTCCCCATCCACAATTTGTATCATTCTATGTACTTATTGACTGAGTTGGAATATTTGGCTCGAGGTGATGCCATACAGACTGAACAGAGTTAAGGTCCATACAATGACCAAGAGCCAAATATTTCCCCATCCGGCTTGACCTAACTCAATCAATAAGCATGTTATCATTTGATCCAATATTTGTCATAAAAAAGGCTATGCACAACCAAGGTCCAGACAAGTGTTTCCATCCTGCTCACGTCAACCCATTTGGCCCTTTTTTCCCCAAAAAGTTTTGTTAGAGCACGCAAGCAGGGCCATATGGGTCAAATAATAAATCTAATTACTGTGCAGACACACTAGCCGGGACCATTTGAATAAAACTGACCAATCAGATAACAGTAAACTAGACAGATTGAACTGACAACATGCGTTAGCCAATCAGATTATCACGTTCTCACTCTCTTATTATTTTGATGCGCTATCTGATTGGCTGGTTAAAGAATATTAAACAAAATGTTGCAATATGATTGGTTAATGATACTAGTTTATCAAACTGGTCCCGGATGGAGTATCCGCACGGTACCAAACTATTTTGGTTTCAGCTTCTGTTTTGAACCCCCGAAAAGATTTTGCAATAATTAAAGACAGTATAAGACAGAGGAGCTTGTTTGGAGAAACAAGTTTTATTGTACACAATTCATTAGCAAGAAGATGATGCTTAGAACTGGATCATTTGTCCCTGTAACAAATAACAGACAAAAACATCTTAGCATGCTTTTCTCAACAGTGTAACAATCGAAAGCATTGTCTTAACTAAAATTCCATTCTATTATTTGTATATGCTGTGGTCATGGGATGACTAACTTACAGATTGTTAGAATATTTAGAGGGAGGAAAAACCAGAGACCCTCAAATCGAGGGGGAGACCCAGACTGAATTGAATTGAATTTAAATTTATTTAATTTGAATTGCCCTATTTCACTATGACGTCACTGCTTGTTTATGTGGGGGATAGAATCACCAAATCCAATAGAAAATTCAACAAAATTTGCTCCTAGCGAAACAGTTTAATCTAAAATGGCCTGGATTTTAGATATAATATGTGTTAATATGTACTAATATTCTACTTCTCTTCGAGGATTGATACGGGTTTTAGAACAATTTTTGGTGAATTTGCGTTGATTTGACCCCCTCTGACGACCATGATCCTTTGTGTTTAAACAATAGATTGTTTTGATGTGATGTCATAGTGAAATAGGGCATTTGAAATCAAGGGAGACCCAATAAACTCTGCTCAGGGCCCAGTTGTACAAAGGGTGGATACTGCTATCCAATGAACAAGTCTTATCCAGTTGATAATGTTGTCCAATAAATTTATCCACTAAACAAGACTTATCCATTGGATAGTCCTATCCTGAATGTAATATTTACTCCAGGTATCAAATCAGACTCTAGAGGCATAAGGTAAGTTCATAACCATTATCCCACCGTTAATTGCCTGGACATAATAGCTGCGATATGGTTATTATTGTGTTAAATCCTCAACATCAAAATACATTCCCTTTTCTAGTGATACTAATTGGTGCACTAAGCTACACCCATTTTCAAAATCCCGCAACCTAGATGGCTTCAGGCATTTGGAGTTTTGGCTGCTGTCAATCAAAGTTAGCACGAGCTGAATCAAAAGAATTTCCTGCTCAACCAATCAGAGACAACTGTTCCCACGCTTGAAATGGATAAAGCATTTTTAATTCCGAATATTAAAAAGTTTAAGAAAATGCCATTCAATAAATGTTTGAGTTTGTTTTTGGACCTGATCTTCAAGGTTGTTGATTTGTTGTATTTATTCCCAATAAGGAAGAACAATAGTCCCCTTCACAGTTCCCTGCGCCATCTTGAAAGGTAGCCGTGCCTTTGCATCGAAGCGAGATGAACAGTGAGCTTGCAATGATAGAGACATGAGAATAATTGTCCAAGGTGTTAAAAAAAGGTCTCTATCATTGCAAGCTTACCGTTCGTCTCGCTTCGATGCAAAGGAACGGCTACCTTTCAAGATGGCGCAGGGAACTGTGAAGGGGACTACTGACACTTCATTCTTCTAGATTATCAGTACTCAAGCATAGCTATGATTATATAGAAACTTGAAATGGCTGTTGAGTTGAGGAAATTCCTTCTTATTTGCTAACTTTGATTGACGGAAGCAAAAACTTCTGCTCCAGATAAATATGTAGCCATCTAGGTCACGTAATTTTGAAAATGGGTGAAAAGGTGTGAGGAAACCATTACAAAATGATATCACATTCTATGAAATATCCATTGTCTCTACTTAACCCACTATTTTGTTAATCAATAAGATCATTTATAGAGCTTTTAAGTTTTGACATATTTCTGGGTCCAACTTCTCACAAAAACTGCTAAAATAAACCAAAACAATTTTCTTAATGATTTAACCTCCATCTGAAACTTAGGACAACAAATCCTGTCATTAGAAAAACGTTTTAAAAAAATCTTTTTGAAATGGCTTTTCATTTTGGACCTGGAAGTTGTTTATCCATACACTTGATGTCATACTTAAAAGCTCTATTGAGGCTTTGCACCATCATGTGATGGCAGCCATGACAGGAGGCAGGAACAATAGCAAATATCGTAGTTACACTATTGCATTTAGACAATTCTTACATTTGGGTCTATACATTTCATTGTATTGACCCAAATGCCTTGACTTGAAAAGATTGTTTGAAGGCAACAGTGTGTAACACGAGAAATAATTCACTTTGCCAGGAGAGAAAGACTATTATAAAATAACTGTTATAAATCTCACATTCTGATTGGTTGGGAGTGTGTGCTTTATGAGAGCACACAGCACCCATGCACCCTTTGCATTTCATAAAAGAAACAAAAATTCGCTTGCTGTGCTGTGTGGAATTATAAAGACCTTGGGGATTTGTAGAACACTCGAGAAGTGTTGAGAAGCACTCCGCTATCCGCCATGCTTCTCCTAACACTTATCTCGTGTTCTGCCAATCCCCACGTGCTTTATAACTGCACACAGCATGCACGCGTGTTTTCTATTTCTCATTGTTGTGCCTCCTGTCATGGCTGCCATCACGTTATAAAAGTGATGAAGGTTAAGGTTAACTAAGGATAAGATAGGGTATTATTTTTTCTTACCTTTCGCTTCTTATCTCCTCCAAGTTCGAAGTGCTTGCATCTCTTCAGAGCAATCTGCTTCCTGTACTTACATTGGGTGCATTCCATACGAAGTACAATTTTCTTTGTGGTTTTTGCCTGAAATAAAACAAAACCAGTCACAGAGAGATAAGAGGGTTTTTATGCATGTAGGAGCAATGATTCCTGGACTCAGCATCATGTGTTAGTAGAGTTCGTTAGCGTTTTGCCTTGGTTCCAGGCCTAACAAATGCCAAAGGGCTAAATTCCAAATTCCATCTGCAAGTTAGCCATGATCTGAGTTAGATGAGCCCTGACTTAGATCAGCCCAGAGGTTGTTTCAGGGTTTGATCAGTGAGTTAACCATGCCCTGACTTAGATCAGCCCAGAGGTTGTTTCAGGGTTTGATCTGTGAGTTAGCCATGCCCTGACTTAGATCAGCCCAGGTTGTTTCAGGGT